GAACCGCTTGAGAACCTTGCACTCGGGCCTGCGCTGTGTTCTCCCAATCCCCCTCACCATCCTCTGCCCTCCCTGACCTGTTGTGCTCAGACTGCTGGAAGCTTGGGACAACGGCAGGGTCCCGGCGCCCCCTTGGGGCGTGACCTGGGGAGAGAGGAAAGAAGGCATGGTTAGGCCACTGTCTTCCAGCAGCTCCCATGGTGCTCGCTGTCGTTACAATCCCCGCACCTCTGCCTCCAAGACGGAGAAAGGGGGCTCTGGCTGCAAGGCTGCTTGTATCATGCCAAGCGCTTTCCATCAGCTTTCGTCACATTTACCCTAGGTGACCCCGGGGCACAGACAGGAGGCAGTCGTTCCCTGCCTCTCCTCTGACACTGTCCAGTTGCAGGTCTGAAGTGTGTGTGTGTGTATATGTGAGAGCACGCAAGCACACGTGCTTGTGAGGCTAGGGGGTGGGGTGGGTTATGAGGATAAGGTGTGTCTCTGCATCACAGTGTTGAGATGTTATACTGCTTGATTTTCTGGGACCACCCACCAGCCTCCTTCTTAGCCTCCCTGCCTCCAGTCTCATCCTCCATCAACCCCAGCAGCCTCACTCTAAATGTGACCCAGTCCCTTCTGGGCTCAAAACTCATCCTTAGCGCCTCACTGCCTACGGTTCAAGTTCAAGCTCCTTCAGCATTTGACTTGGTGTCTGGCCCCTGCCCATCCCCCACCCTACCCCCATACTCATTCATAAATAATCATTCCAGCTCCAATCACACTAAATCGCACTGGAGTTCCTCAAATTGGGCTCTGCACTCTGGCTTCTAGGCCTTCATGCACATAGATCTGTCCTTCACGTGGCTGACTAACTCTCTCTTGTCCTTATGACTCAGCTTAGATGATCCCTCCCTTTACGTCATTGGGGAAGGGGGCTCCTCTGGGCCCCTTGCTGCTCTCTGTAGTGTCACAACCCTTTCCACACTAGATGGAATAAAGGGATGTCCCAGTGTGTCTGATCTCGAGCAGGCTGTGGACCTGAGTGCACACCCAGGGGTATAATGATCTCCCTGCCAGCGTCTGTGTGGTCGTGAACCTGTGTGAGGGGGGATGCCTGTATCCTTCACCTAGTATCCATCCCCGTGTGGCTACATCCTGTGATAACTCTGTGTTTGGCTACGTCAGTGTGTGTCGGTGGGTGCCTGTATCCCCCGTGTAAGACCACAGTTCCCTGGAAACGGTGTTTCTCTGTGTGACTGTGCCCCACCCCTGTGACAGCCTGTTCCCAAGGGTGACTCTCCCTGCCTCTGTTCTAGGAACTGTGGCCAACCGGGTAGGTTGTGCTCCACACGAGGTGCCTGCCGGGGGTCGAGGGTGTGCCAGAGCTTTGTGGCCCCACCCCTCGAGGGGCTCTTGGTACCAGATGGGGGCTGTAGCTGGCTGGCTTGCCCGGGCTGGGCAGCATGGGGGCCGCGCTGCAGGGGTTGATGCGTTTTTCCTTCTGGCGCCGGTTGCAGAACCAGACGCGGATCACCTCCTTCTCCATGTGCAGCTGCTCAGCGATCAGCAGGATCTCCTCCGAGGTAGGCTTCTGGTTCTGCGGGCAGAGGGCTCGTTAGCCCGGGGCCCATCCTCCCGCCAGCCCTCAGGGCCGCCCGGGAGGGTGGGGCCTCACCGCTAGAAAACTCTTCTCTAAGGCGAAGCGGACGTTTGTCTCGATGCTGGTCCTCTTCTTGCGTCTCCGGCCGGGGAGCCCGTCGAAACCCAGGCTGGGACTGCTCAGCTGGTTGGGACTGGGCAGGCTTGAGTCCACAGACATAGTCTCTGTGTCCGGGAGGAGACGGGCTCATGAGAGGGCGCTTCCCCCGGCCCGCCGCCCGTAGCCCGCCCGGGAGCCCCCAGCCCAAGTCCCACCTGCGTCGTTGAGCCACTTCTCCAGGAGGGGCTTGAGTTTGCACATGTTCTTGAAGCTCAGGTTGAGAGCCTCGAAGCGGGAGATGGTCGTCTGGCTGAAGTCGTTGCCGTAGAGCTTGCCCATGGCCAGACCCACATCACCCTGGGCCAGTGGGGCAGGGATGGGGCTGCGTTCAGAGCCGGGCAAAGGGCTCAGCCCCGCCCACCATGTGGCCACACCCACCCCGCCCACCAGGTGATTATGCCCCCCCTTCACCCCGCCCACTAGGCAGCTACGCTCCCTCCCCCTGCCCACCTGCCGGTCCCGCCCCTCACCCCGCCTACCGTATGGCTACGCTCTCTACCCTGCCCACTAGATGACTAGGGCCCAACACCCCGGCCACCAGCTGGTCACACCGCCCTGTCACCCCACGCCCACCGCCTGTCCTGCCGGGTCGCCCCAGACCTGCGTGAAGCCCAGCTTGATGCGGCGTTGCTTGAAGGTGCGAGCGAACTGCTCCAGCTCCTCCAGGTCACTGGGCTCCTCGGGATGGGATGGTGGCTCCAAGCATTTGGGGGGCTGCGGGTGCGAGAGGTGCGGGTCGGGCAGCGTGGGGCGGGTCACGGCCTGGTGGGGTGGGCAGGTGGGTGGGATGCAGGACCGAGGACCAGGACGAGGCTCAGCATTGGGTGCGCAGTCCCCCTCCCTCCCTCCCTGCCGTCCAGCCTCTTCCTGCAGACTCCCCTCCACCCACGCCCAGGTGGCCCCTTCGCACTCATTGCCAATCAAGGTGGCATTCTGCTGCCCCACAAGGGCCCGCTCACTGCCTGAAACTCTCTGCACATTCCTCCCAGTCTGCAGGCTTCATAAGGAGCAGCCATCTCCTTTCACCAAAGGCTCTT